ATATCTCCGATTGGGCAGACCTGACTGCTGGTATCCCGCAAGGGGGCATCCTTTCTCCCTTACTTTTTAGTATTTTTATTGACCTCATCACTCTACGTCTGAAAAGCTCTTACCATTTTATGCTGATGATTTGCAGCTATATGTTCAAGGAACTACTGACGAGCTCAACAAATCTATTGCAGCCATTAACGCTGACCTGGACCAGATTCGGGACTGGTCAAACAGGTTTGGCGTCGCTGTAAATCCATCTAAGTGTCAGGCGATCATTATTGGCAGTTCTTATCGGATAAATTCACTAGACCACAAACTTATTTCACCTGTTGTCTTTAATGGCACATGTATACCTTTCTCACCACAAGTTAAAAACTTAGGGCTAATTATTGACAACAGCTTATCGTGAACATCTCAAGTTACAAATATTTGCTGTAAGATGAATAATACAGATACAGATGTCTGTTCCGCTATAAGTACTTTCTCCCCTCGTGCACTAAACTGTTTCTGGTACAGACGTTGGTGCTGCCGATAATTGATTATGCTGATGTTTGTTACTCGGATGCAAATCAGGATCTTCTTAATAAGCTTCACCAACTCCTCAATAATTGTATAAGATTCATATATGGACTTCGAAAATTTGATCACATTTACCATTTTCGAAGTCAGCTAAATTGGTTGCAGATTCGCGAGCGTAGAAACAGTCACATTCTTCGTACCCTATTTTCTATCCTCTTTGATCCCATCGTTCCCAACAATCTGAAACAAAAATTTTCCTTTCAATCTGATGCTCTCTCTCGCAACCTTCGGTCTGATCACAATCTCTCCCTTCATATTTCTCTTTATCGTTCCCGCCTTATGTCCAACTCCTTTCAAGGTCAAGCTGTACGGCTCTGGAACTCGCTACCCATCTCAATCAGAAATTGTCTGACTAAAGAGAGTTTTAAACGTGCCGTCTTTAAATTTTATTTAGATAATCGACAATGTTGTACACTGAGTTGCTTGAATTTCCACTTCTTGACATTATTCTAAAATATCTAATATTATATAGGTATGTATATATTTGTGTATGTAGATTTGTATTATATATATATATATATATATATATATATATATATATATATATATATAATAGCTATATATATATATATATATTAGTATAAGTGTATATTTATGTAATATGTATGTAATATTTGATATATTATCATATTCTTTACTATCTCAACTGGCTCTTTCGCACCTCCTTATTCTCTCTGCTTATTTGTCGGTTGACTTGTAGAGAACACCTAATGGTGTTAAGTCCGCCATTGTACGTTATTGTGCATAAAGTTTTTAAATAAATTAAAAAAAAAATTGCTCATCATATGTTGATGATACTAAAGGTGGAATTTAATTGCAAACTCTCCATATAATAAAAAGCTATAAATTAATATTTTATGTCATGTTACCGGAAATACGCAATAAAATAACAATGATTACAATTAATCATTGCGAAAAACCTAAGCGACCACGCCACTGAAACACACACCCGGTTCCTTGTTTATTTAATGAGTGAATCCGAAAGACGACCTCGTTATGACGTCACTACTTAAACATAGCGCCCGAAGGAGAGGGAGATATGCAAACGGGCGCACGGGCGAAAGAGATGGCCGAAACAGCTGATTCTGAATGAATAGATCTCCTTAAGAAAGCTGCCTTTAATGAAATCGAATCGTCTGACTGTAATAATGGACCCATAGTCGGTGATTTTGACACGGTTCAAGGTGATGTGACAATCCTCAGGTTAACCTAAATGCATCCATCAGCTGTGTTTATTTACAATATTCCTCACGTAAAAAAGGGTACCTAACCGGCATATTGAAAGACCTAATTTAAATTAGGATTGCGTGCTCGGTCATGACCGACACTGGTTGCGAATAGATGAGAAGTAGTGACCGCGGATGACGAGTTCTAATTAAAAAAAAATAATTCGTAAATTAACAACCATAACTCCTTTTTACGTAATCCTTCGTGTGACCGTTTGCGGGCACGGAAAAGTAATAATTTCAATTTTATTGCGCGATTACCATCGATACGCGGGGCGATCGGCGTTCAAACATCCGGTTCGGTTTCAAATGTCCCTTGAAAACAACGAGAGGGCGCCGCGAAATTTGAATAAAAATCTGTGACGATAAGTTTCTAATCTAAGGTGTTAAAATAACAAACATCGTGTAGGCGCACGCAAGCGAGTTCGGGCTGTGCCCAATTCTCTTGACGTTTCGTCCGTTACGAAAACACCAATTGCTTTGTACGTATGGGTCAGACTTTTTTTTTAATTTTCACCTAAATTTATGTTGATTTCGTTACCAACGTAAACCCATTTCAGGATTTCTTTTTTAACATTCGCGAAGCTATACGTCGTATTCATAGCTCGAGTCGGATGTCGAAAAGGAAACGGTTCACGTGAAATGAAAATCGACTACGTAAAAAGTATTCATGTATTAAATAACACTATCGTAACTAAAGCGACTCCATTAAGGTCTAAACTGCAAAGCCAGCAAAAGAAATACACGTACCTACACACAAACATATCGAAGAATTTTCTAACAAGAATTTATATTTGCTCCCTCGTGTTCGTTTTAAAATTGTTTATCCGTTTTATTAATATTTTTCGATGATAGGGCCATGCAGCAGCCTCGGCCGTTGCACGAATGGGCAGGCCCGTCCGGGTAAGTACCACGACCTTACAGAAGATCAGCGTAAAGTGGAAGTATGACAAATACTTTCGCGTTTCATCTGGTGAGTGAGGAGGCCGGAGCCCAATTTTCAAAAGGTTGTCAACGCATTTGTAACCCTCGGGTGTAGCAGATGTCCATGGGCGAAGGTATTCACTCACCATCAGAGGAATCGTCTGCTTGTTTGGCAACTTTTCGCATAAAAAAAAGACAAATAACAAAATCTGCTTACAGTTGAGTCACTCTCATTGATTGACAACGGATGAACGGATTCTTTATTAAATTCTTTTTGGTCTCTTGCGGACGGATTAAGAAATCTGCCGCATGATCGGACGACGTGTCTCCACAAATGACAATGCGAATTATTGGTATGAATACAGTAAAATGGAGTGAAATAATAAACAATAAAATCCCATTAGTGATCGAAGTGCGCAATAGCACTATGAATACGGCACGAGCGTTTTTCATTAGGCTACGATCACATTAGGCGGGCGGACAGACGGCGGGATTATTGGATACGACGGACGAAAGACTTCGATCCAGTGCCTTTTTTGCTTCTCCCGTTCCCTTTTTCCCGCTCGGGCACCGTCTGGAAAGCCTTTTCCTCTTATTTATTGCTTATACGGAGCCCGAATTGGATATTTGCGAAAGGTTGAGTCGTTCGCCGATGGGAAAATATTACCTTTTTTATATATCGGGCCGAAATAGAGTTCCCCATTCGAAACGGAATCGATTCGAGGCGAATGCTCAGTGAAGATTGAGATATTGTTGTTGGGTATGTATAACTTTGTAGTTGATAAATTTACTTTTTATATGTAGGTTTTATATCTTAAAGTTGCTACGTAACGGTACTAATCCAAAGAGGTTTTAGTTTCAACCAATTAATTAAAATAACTAGCGTAGCCTTTACATTGACATAATTACAAGGATATCAGCCCAGGCGCTTCCAAAACTTTTAAAATACCTCGACGGCCGTGCCTTGTTGACTTTTAATTTAGCCCGTCTCACACTAATTGCGATATGTCTCCCGAATGTACTTGGACGTCATAGCGGGGGCCTCCATATTTATATTTAACGACAGCCAGACATTTTGAGGGCTTGTCTCATTAGCGCTAGTGAAAGGGTCGCGGGGAAAAAAGCTCCGCGAGCGCCCTCTAGTGACATTTTAAAACCCGACGCACCGCTAATTAAAAGATTTTCGGTTCAAACTCTGCATAATAGTTGCCGTCTGATATTCGCCTAGCAACAGCAACCACTAAATAGCTATGATTAAACTATACTTAATTATGTGGAACCGTATTGACCAAGGTAATGTAGTGAGACATCATAAATTGCTAATGAGGAGTTGTCTTATTTAAACATAGTCTTTCCATTTCAAGGTCGTAAATATATTATGATTAATTTGCTTTATTTGATGTGTTATGCATAATAACACTAAAATAATTAAAAACATTAAAATATGTTTGGCGGAATGTTAACAAATCTAAAACACGTAGAGTTAAAGTGTAAAATTTCCAATAGGATACAAATGAGCAATATGTTTCAAGTGTAACTAGTCTCTTATTAGTAGAATAAAAGGAAATACTCTTAACTGACTGCTTAACTAGTAATTGAAAAAACTAAATAAAGATACTCTCACTTTCTATACCATATGTACTAATATACACGTACGTATATATACGTACCTAATATATATGTGAGTACCAACAGTTTTAACATATGTTATATATTTCAATATGTCACCATCAGCTTATAATAAATCGACAGCCGTAATAAAATATAACTATATTATTAACCCCACCTAATTATAATATAACCTTTAAGTGCAGTTTAAGTTAATAGCTTAGTATACTATTTAAACCTTAAAAAGTATTGTAATAATCGTCGTCCCAATATAGAAAACGGGAATATGGGGCACTTTCTCTCAGTTAGTACAATATATTCACTGATAATAATACATTTTAAAATCACCACCGTCGAGAAATTGCTGGCGGTTTATTGATATAGGTATAAACCTATAAACCTACAATATATATTGTACAGAAGTAATCTGTAAGTTTTTCAGTACAGCCAAAAATAGTATCTAATCAAACTTGGCACTCGTGCTACCCGTACATAATTGACATCCGCGTATACGCCGTCAGCTAATTTAAAAACTCGCAAAACACATTACACGCGACGGGAGAATCCCGAAAAACTTATCTGCCGCCCGCAACCGTACAATCCATCATCATTACGGAACTCCTCTTGCCGAAATTCAATAAAAAAAAAACTTTCTTATTCAACCCCCATCTAGCGGAGGCGACGCGAACCTCGACGGGACCCCACCCCGAGGGTGGAGGGTGGCCACCCCGCGATGTATCCCTTTTTTCTTCCCACCACACCCTTATCCGTACCTGGGCTTTCTTTATCCGAACTGAACTTTCCGCTTATCCCCGTCTCACTCGCACGGCGGCCTATCACCGCGTGCCGCGCGACACGCGTCCCTCCGTCTCTCTCTCGCGCCAAAGAAAAAAATCTGCTTATAAAAATGAGAGCGTAGATGTGTTTGGGGCACGGCTCCATTGGACGCATTGTGGGGTAACGTTTCACATGCGGAGGGGTGTTTTTTGTACGCGCGTTCGAATCGAACGGTTTAAAAAAACGGTGCACCCCCAACGCAGGCCCGAGCTCCTTTTAGGTACCTACGGCTGTATTCGTTTCATTTCCAATTTCGATAACAAAGCTCATTTCTTCTCTCTCTGCGTCCGCGTGTTTCTCGCTTTGTTCGTCTTGCACGGAATAATTGCGCGGACCACCGCTCCAATTCGTTTCGGGTTTTTCATAAATAATCACAGCATCTCAGGCTCCTTTGACCGCTGGTTTAATAATGTTCCTGTATGATCTATGAAGCGGCCAAACCTCACTTGTTTCGCAAAGGAATCGTCGATGCCCATTTTCATTTAAGGCTGAGCTTTAGGAGTAACTTTTTCCGTAATGCTTTAAACATAAATCACATGAATACTTTTTTTACTTTGGATTTATTTTTACATGTCAAATTTTAAACAGCATGTGCAAAGTTAGAAAGGCATATCAATGTATACTCAAAAATCAAAATTATGCAACTAAAGAAATATAATGTTTTAGCATTAAAATCAATTTATAGTATTTGATGCAAAACAACTCTGTATAAGAGTATAGAATCTCGATGCAATCCCCTTACAAATCATCGTTGAATGAAAAAAAAATAATTGGTAAGTTAATAACAATTGGCATATGGAGAACAAGATTAACTTTTAACGCTTGACTTTTAGTTTCAGATGTACTTAAGTGATCAAAAGAAAAGCAACTGTTGAACGAGAAACTACTACCCTACCCGGAAGAAAAACTCCATAGCAATTGTAACTTTGTAGGGTTCCGTACCCAAAGGGTCAAACGGGACCCTACTACTAAGACTACGCTGTTTGTCTGTCTGCCTGTCTGTCTGTCTGTCTGTCTGTTCATGCATCTGTCCGTATCTCATGAACCGTGATAGTAAGAAAGTTGAAATTCTCACAGATGATGTATTTCTGTTGCTACAACAATAAATATTAAAAAACAGAATAAAAAATGTTTAAGTGGGGCTCCCACATGATTGTTTTGCCCTTTTTATAGATAATTGAACGGAACCCTTCTTGCGTGAGTCCGACTCGCACTTGGCCGGTATTTAAAAGCCATTAAAAAAATTAATCAATCTCCAAAGTTTCTTTATGTAATATATAAGCTTTTAAAGCTCTTACTGAACGCCAAAAAAACTGCTACCGGTTCATTAGGCAAAGAACAGCTGGCAAGAAACACTTTTTTTTATGATAGAAGTATACAAAATTATTAAGGTATAAAATCAGCAGCAGCCAGGGGACTTGCAAGTGCAGGGCAAGAGTCATTTCCACGCATACTTGACCTCGATGTATTAAACTAATGTATGCTACTTTTATTATCATTAACATATAAAATGTTTAAAAGGTGTAAAAGTTTCAAAACGTGGCCTTACTTAAGGACAAACGAAAGAGAAGAATATGATTCATTTGCAAAAAATTGCTATTTACATTAAATTTAACATAAGATATCTGTTAAATAACTTTCATTAAAAAAATAAATTTATAACGTAAACTTTTAGCTTTTGATGTGATAGTCACAATCATTAAGATCATCTTTATTTTGATGATAGAGAATTATGTGGATTCAACATAAACGAAACAATACCAAGAAATAAGAAAATTTACCTATTATTATATGACAATGAAAGGTGAGAAAACTAACCAATATAAAATCTTATTCTGCTTACCGAAATAGATATTAAATAAAAAAAATTAAAGTCCTCGATATTAATTAGTAAAGACATAATAAAATATTATCTTGCATACATTCAGAGTCAATTTATACCTCAGCAAAAATAAAAAAAAAAACATACACACGCGCAGTTCAAATCCTTTATTTAATGACCTATAAGAATGAACAATATAGATTTTTTTCTGTATGAATCCAATAATATACAATAGAAGCTTTTCCGAATTGTAGAATGATTTGTCTGATTGAATGAATTGTAGAAGATTGTCCGAATGCAAATAATAAGCATTTTGCTTGACTCATGAGGACTAACAAGAAATTTACTTTGTTGAATAATTATTCAATATTAGTACAAGCAAATAATAACAAATACACGATATATACTAGGTAACGTATCGACGTAGATTAGAGTAAATTATTTATGTGGTACTTATATAAAATTAATTTTTGTTTCTCTTAAAATTCCTTTACCATTAATGTTGATGTCCATTTAGCCTGCGAAACTTTAGTTAATATAAGAAACATAAAAAAATCCAAAAAAGCTGCAACAGTGCAAACCGAGCATTAGAGCGTTTTAAATGTCACGAACGAAACGCAGCGACTGCTATTAGACCATTCGTAAGTATACATTTTAAATGTCATCAAGAGAACTTGAGGTACTCCGTCTAATCTATACAACAATCCCGTCATTACTGTGGGGTCATCGGCCCACCATTAACGTGTCCTTTAGGTTCCGGGTGTTCACCCGGCTTAAGCAACGACTTCTAATAACATCCCTCTATTTTATTAGAAATGCACACACCAGTGTCTAATTAAAACAATATTACACGGTTACCGAGCGACTCGTAAATTTACTCAAACATGCGGTTAAACTGCCCAGTTTGGTTACGCAAGGCAAGTATATAGTGATAACATGGATAAAGTCGCTGAAGTCGGTTCGAATCCCAGAAACAGTCTCAGCGAATGTTAAGTTGTAAGTAAATTTTTACTAACCTTGTTGTAAAAAAAAAATATATATATATTTCGAAAATATGTGAAGTCCGCCAATCCGCAGTGGGGCCGCGTGGTGGACTATGCCCTGATCTCCTCTGTAAGGAGGCCTTTGCCCAGCAGTGGGACATATATTGGCTGTTACTTTACTTTTTACTTTACTTATTGTAATTTCCTTATTTTGAATATTAAGAATAACATTTTGTGAAATATTTTTGTAACAAGAACTACACCGGTTATATATTATAGATAAATATAATATGTTTCATTTAAGATTGTCAACTAGTATAGATACAAGGGCATGTATTATAGGTACAGATACATTGTAGACACTGAAGTTTAGTTGAAGTTACGTATGACTTTCTTTAATTCTTAAAAAGCACAATATATCTTATAACTATCCATTAAAATGTACGCAAATATTCTCAACGAAACGATTAGACAGTTTGTAAATATTATTTCCGTTAACGAATTTTCAAAACGCACCATCTCTGTTGCGGTAAACAACTTTATTTCTATTCCATTACAACGGCGACGTAAAATAAAAAGTAAATGCACTCACTATGGGGTATAAGCTTCTATATGCAGAGGGTATAAGATATGGGGGCACGGAGCTATAGAGGGCACATCACGCAGCCCCACCGCACATCGGAGGACGACGCAAGCCCTCGTAAATATTTTATTATTATACATTACACCTTCCATCTGATGCAGGCTTCTTCACGACGTATTTCTTTTTCACCGAGCACGTACGGACGACGTTTAAAGTTTTTATGACGATTTCTTTAGCATCGAGTGGCTCTAAATTAAGACTTTAGATTAAGAGAACCTCTAAATTAAGTTTATCTCTCCATTTTTGGATAAGCACTAGAGAAAGAAAAACCCGATTAAATCGGTTATTTTTTTAACCGTTGCTCTTACTTTAGGATAACATTTTCTTGTGTTGTAAGAACGTTTTACAAACACAAATTTCACGCGGACAAACACCCAGATGCGAAACTATCTGTGGGTTAGACGAATAGTAATCTCGTGTAGGAATCGAATCCACGAACCCTGATGCAGAAGCTAACACCTTGGCAACTACGTCACGGAGTTGCCAAGGTATTAGCAATCAAATTAATCTTTCTTACACTGGTTACATAAATATGCCGCTAGTTTAAGCTATGTATTTGAAATTGCACTTGCAATTCTGAATTGACGCACGATTGAGATTTATAAGTAAAGAAAAATTCGTGTACGATGAAATCCCATAATGACACGAGAGTCTAACCTCATTTACTGCTAAAAACATATGATTGTGGATAAAAAATAGTTTTTTTTTTAACTTGGAGTATATAAATGGTCTGAATAACCCTGGCTCCCGTAATTCAGTAATGCTAGGTTGGGTCCTAGGGTATGGGAATAGGGGGGAATGAAACAGCAGATGACCTGGCAGGCCTAGGGGTAGCTAAATTTGGCTCCAGAAGCCTTCTGCCATAGGACAGACATCACGCCAACCTCCTTTGGCGCGGATCGATTGGCCTGACTCATTCCTAACAGCTGATCAGGGGCTTCTCACCTAAGTTACCAACTAAGGTACTCAAACTTAACCGGTCAAGTAGTACCGGTAAGTATACTTATTAGGCCTCTCACGGGGCACTGTAGGTTAAAATATTGAAACAGAATTGGACGATGTGAGTGATGTCGAGGAGACACCCCTTTACATAATTTGTGAATGCGGTGCCCTGGTCGATATAAGGAATCTGGAACTGGAAGGGCCCAAGTTGGCAACCAATGAAGGACTCTTAGGGCCACATCGCAGATATACTATTTTCAGAGCATATTTGGACATAGTCCGATTGTGGAATGGTTGTACTATTGAAAGATACCGTTACTTACTATAATTGACATATGGGCAATTTTTTCTCTTAATTATCATATACTAACATGGATGAAATTGTATGTCGGGATCTCACAAATAACAACGGAAACGTGACAAGAAATTTAAATTATTTGACATCAGATTCTCTCCGAAATTTGTACACATGTAATAACATTTTTGAAATTCTTCGGACTTATTTCCTTTAGTCTCAAATTAATGCCATCTGAGCGAACTATACATTTGATGCTAGTCGAAGACTGAGCAGTATGACACTCAAACAGAAACACGCGCAGAGATGTTTTGGGCGTGGTTTCAATCACTGAAAGTGAGAGTCTCCAATTACTTCCCTCATCAGACGAAACGCAAAGCCATTAAATTCTTGACGCTGACCTACTGGGAGGCCATGGTACTTCGCTGA